CTTACTATATTTTTTCCTGAACTAGTTAAGAGTAAGTTGTAGGCATGATGTCCTGTTACTCTTAAATAATTCAGTGTATATTCTAATACAAGGCCATTCTTTTAACATAACCACAATATAACCATCAAATTCATGAAATTAATGCATATACCTGTTTCAAGTTCCACCAGTTTTTCCAATTATATCTTTGATAGCAAAAAGGACACAAGTTGCATTTATGGACATGTATTATTCTCCAGATACAGCTTTTCTCTTCTTTGGCATTTTTGATAAATACAGGCCACTCATTTTATGCAGTTTCCTTCAATTTGAGTTTGACGTTTCCACATAGAAAATTTGAACAGAAATACCATAGAAGTGATGTTTTCTTAGTGTAATGTATTAGGATACACATTATGTTGATTTTGGTCCTTATTTGTGAGGTTAACTTTGATCACTTGATTAAGTTGGTGATGCCAGGATTCTCCACTCAAAACTTATTTTTCACCCTATAATTAATAAATAATTTGTGGGGAAATACTTTGAGATTATGTAAATATTCTGTTCCATAGCATTCTTAAACACACTCCTCTTAGCATGCATTGATGTTTCTTTTCTGGGTAAATTTCTGCTGGTTGTCAAATGGTGATTTTCTAATACCATTATTCTACAATTTATTGGTTGGCATTCAGCTTATTTAATGTATTAGTATGGACTTACGGATTCCTATTTAATTCATTACTATCATTAATTTTGATGTTCAGATTTAGTCAGTAGGAGCCCTCTATCTTTTTGACATGTCCTTGTCATTTTTCACACATCTCTACCGTATGGCACAAAAATTTTTTCAGGCCCACTTATTTTCTACCATGGAAATCAGTTGTTCCTCTAAGGAGCGCTGATCCTTTTTAGTGGACAGTCGTACTTGGAAACAGATATAAGCATTAGATAAACTCACTGTAGCAGGGATGTCATTGCCTCTAGGTTTCTTCAGGAGACAGAGCTAGGAAAAAATATGTATGTATGTCTGTGCATGTGTATGTGTATTTGTGTGTTATATGTGTTTGTATGTGGGACTTTACCGATGAATAATAATTTAATCTTTATTCATTTTGATATCTGTATGAGACTCACAAACCTCTCTTTGTAGTCTGCCACAGAGTTCATTCTAGTCTTGTACATTTTCATACTTATAATTCCATTCTCTGACAGTAAAAAACATTGCTCCTATTATCTTCAGTTTACTTATTCAGTTTCCCCTGTGTATGATGATTTGCTTCCTTGACCCCATTAGTGCAGGCCCTATCAGACTCAGCCTTGTTTTTGGCTATGACTGCGTTCTTGGTCCCAATAAGCTTCCAGGCCTAAGCTGCCAAAAGATAGAGAAGTGAAGGGAAGAGAAGGCCAATATTTTCTTTTCAAGTAAAAAGGGAGACTGAGTAAGCCCACCACTTAAAAAATATTTTAGTCTATATACAGTGTCAGATCATTCTGCATACTATGTACTCTCTCTTTTAATCATCGTTTAGCCTAATCTCTGTAGGTCACTATACATTTAATCCTCCCCATCAGTCCGTATATATATCTAATTACTTTGGATTCCTGAAGCTTGTTGTCTAACAGATTTCTAGGAAAGCCATTTGGGAACTATGCTCAGTATGTTCTGGAATGTTGGAAACAATTTATCTGTGATCTTAATGCTTAAAGTTAGGTGGATATAAAATTGTTGGCTCCAATTTTCTTTCTTTGACTGTCTAAGTATATGATTCCACTGTTTTGTGCAAGTATCTACTATTGATGAGGAAAGTCTCATGACAATCTATTTTTCTTTCCCTTATAAGTCATTTGATCTTTTAATATAGAAGCCCAGTTAATTAATTTTATTAGCATATAGTTTGGTATTCATTAATCTGGGTCAGTACTCCTACATATGTGATTTGCCTTTTCATTATAAGGCTTCAGAGGTTTCTGTTTTTATAGCAGAAGCATTTTCTCCAATTATTGTTATATATGGTTTCCCCCTTCCCCTATTAGGACTCCTAGTGTATGTATGTTGGATCATCTTTAACTATCTTTAATATTTGCCATTTTCTTTCTAATTTTTTGTTTTACTCATTAAAAAAATTTTACTTTTTATATATTGTCTTTGATTTACACAACATCTATTGTGTTTGCTAACTCCTTGTTTCTTCTAATTTAGTCATTTTTAATTATTTTTTATTTCTTATAGATAGGTACTTTTGAGGGTTGTCCTAATTCTAATTTGTTATTACTTTATATTATGTGTAATTTCTTAAAATTTTTTCAGTTTGGCTTGAAGTAATAGGTTATATTGTTTACCTGTTTTGTCATCAAGGCTTTGTGGTGTGCTTTCATTGTCTTTAGAGATTTATTTTATTCTTATTCTCTTTTTTTCTTATAACTTTGTATCAAATTTTATATATATAAATTTGCCAGTGACACTGCTAGGATTTTATATATATAACAGCTTTATTGAGATACTTCACATACCATACAATTACTTCACTTAAAGTATACCAGTCAGTGGTTTTAATATATTTACAGAGTTGTGCAACCATTACAGCAATCACTTTTCAAACATGTTTTTCACCTCAAAAGAAAACCCCATACTCATTGCCAGTCACTCCTTATTTCTCCCTAATTCTATCCTTCCCTTCCCAGAAGCCGTTGGCAACAACTATCTACTTTCTGTCTCTGTAGATTTGCCTGTTCTGTACATTTCTTATAAATGGAATCATGCAATATGGTCTTTAGTGACAAACTTCGCTTATTGTGTTTTCAGGGTTCATCCACATGGTAGCATATATCAGTAGTTCATTTGTTTCCAATGTTGAATAATATTCCATTGTCCGGGCATATCACATTGTATTTATGTATTCATCAGTTGATGGATGTTTGGATTATTTCCATTTTTTTTCTATTATCAACAACTCTGTTATGAACATTTGTGAATCAGTTTTTGTGTAGATGTACGTTTTCATTTCTCTTGTGTACATACCCAGGGATAGGATTGTTGGGTCAAATTGTAACTATATGTTTAATCTTTTAAGGAACAATGAAATTATTTTTCAAAGTGGCCACATATTTTACATTCCCACCAACAGTGTTTTAGGGGTCCAGTTTCTTCACATCCTTGTCAACACTTGTTATTGTCCATATTTTTTATTACAGTCGCCCAACTGGGTGTGAAGTGGTACTTTGTTGTAGTTTTAATTTTCATTTGCCTAATGGCTGTTGATATTGAGCAACTTTTCACGTACTTATTGACCATTTATATATCTGTTTTGAAGAATGCCCACATCCTCTGCACATTTTTATATTTTTCTTGGCTTTATTATCGAATTGTAAAAATTCTTTTTGTATCTTGTATGTATGTAGCTTTTTCAGATATATGATTTTATAAATATTTTCTCCCAGTCTGTGGATTGTCTTATTTACTTTATTGATAATATTCTTTGAAGGGCAAAATTTTTTTTTTATTTGATGTCCAGTTTCTTTGTTTTTTCTTTTGTCACTTGTACTTTTGTTATATTGAAGAATGTTTTGCCTAAATCAAAGTCACAAAGATTTATTCTGGTATTTTCCTCTAAGAGTTTTATAGTTTCAGCTCTTACATTTAGGTGTGAGATCTATTTTGAGCTACTTTTTGTGTATGGTATAAAGTAAAGGTCCAAATTCATTCTTTTGCATGTGGATGTCCAGTTATTTCAGTACAAATTATTGACCAACAAGTTCTGGTATATACTATGTTCATTTTTATTTAATTCTGTTTTCTTATTTCTGTTATGATTATTACTTGGATACATGAGTTGTCTAATTTCTTTTCCTAATCCATTTGTGATCTTTCTAGTTACATTTCGTAATTGCTTCCTCACTTAAATGCATTGCTCTCATAGATTGTGGTATATATGGTACTGATTCTTTGAGATTTAAAGAAAGTAACATTATAATCTAGCCGTAATGTAGTCAATTTTCATTCCTTATGTACCTATAAAGAATGAATATTCACCAGTTGTATATAATATTATGCCTCTTAGATCAAGCTTGATAAATTAGATATTTATATTATTTGTATCCTCAGTGATTTTTTTCTTAATCTACTCAATGTCATTTATTGATTGAAATGTGTTAAAATCTTCTATCACTGTGGTTACTTTACCTGTTTCTTTTTCCCTTTTAGTCCTGTTGATTATTTTTATATATATAGCTTTCACTTATAATGGGAAGTTGCAAGCATTCACAGGAGAGAGAATAGTAAAATCAATCCCTGTCAACCTTACAATCTTATTTTATATATTTTCTTTAACCCCCTCTATTTGCCCCATCAGTATTTAAATCAAATTCTATACATAAATATTACTGTTTTATAGACTTAATGTTTAGATTTACTTATACATTTATTATAATATTTGCTCACCATTCCCTTTTACAGTCTGTCTAGAAGCGTTTTCTTTCTATATATATTTGTAATATATGTAGTATCCTCTGGAAATCTTAGTAGTGAATTTTCTGGTTTTGTTTGAAATTGTTTCTACTCTTGTGCATATTCTAGAAAATTAGTGCTGAACTTAAGGTGATAGTTATTGTCCCTGAGCATTTTGAAGATGTTATTCAAGTATCTTTTAGCTGCCTTTGTTGAGAAAGAAATAGGAAATTTAATTTTGTTTCTTTGTAGATAATCTTATTGTCTACCTTTTCTTTGGTATTCTGCAGTTTTACCATGATATGACAAATAAAAATGTTTCATAAATAATTGAATTATAGCAATTTTGAGTTATTAGCTTTAAATTTCTTAATATTCTACTTCCAAATGGTGATTGGTGGTCTGTAAACAGTTAAGTACACAAGGGAATGCTTGGTATTTAAAAAGATCCTATGGTGAATCTTTATGGAGTACCTAATTCTTAATTTGTCACCTTTTTAACTTTCTTTTCAAGATCATGTATATGTACCTTGATATAAACAGATATAGTATGCTTTCTTTCTGTATCTTTCTATAGCACTGTTGGAAATAATTATGAAAAATGGAAGCACGGCTGGAAATAGTCCTCATTGCCGAAAACCGCCAAGTAATGCTGATCAAAGCGAGCCTAACTGCACAAAGGACAGCACATCGGGTAGTGGTGATGGTGGAAAAGGCTACACCAAAGACCAAGTAGATGGAGTTCTCAGGTAGGAATAAATATTATTTATATCTCAACTACAATTGCTAATATAATTTTTAAATGTATAGCACCTAAAAGAAGTGTTTGAATTATAATTCAGTAGAGGAACAGACATTAAGGAATTGAACTCCAGCTGTGTTATGTTTTATATTCTTTATAAAATCAGACTGTAAAATACTCTCTCTCTGGAAGGTTTCATTTATTTTTTTTTTCTCGAGTACTTCTGAATGGTTATTTTAGAGGAAAATTATTTCAATTTTTGACATAGTGCAGTATTTAGATAAAATATTGAAAGAGAATAGAATTTTTCTGTCATATATACGAGGTCTATCCAGAAGGTACCCAGCCATGTAATATGAAAAAGAGACATTTTTTTGAGGAAGATAAAAGATAAAAAAAAATTGTACGTAGGACAATGACACCTCAGTCCCCTTCAAAATAGGCACCTTGGGACCTCACACATTCTGCAAGGTGCCATGAGCTGTCCTGTGGTATTTCCCTGAATCTCATCAACGGTCTGAAATCTGCTACCTTTCAAATTTAGTGATTTTAGTTTTGGGAAAAGCCAGAAGTAACAGGGTGCCAAATATGGGCTGTAGGGGGCTGAGTCACCTGGAGGATTTGAGATTTCCCTAAAAACTCTGCACGAGATGTGATGCATGAGTGGATGCATTGTTGTGATGAAGCTGCCAATCACCATTTGCCCATAGCTGTGGCCTTCTGAATCATCTGAATAGTTTCTGCAGAGGAATCTTCAAGCTTAATGCAAAATTTGATGCAGATTTGTTGTTCTACTCACTCAGTCATTTTGAATACAACGGCCACACAGCATACATGCTCACTAAGCAGTGTCGACTGCCTCCACTGACTAGTACAGTGAAGTCATCACTGTTCATGCATGCGAATTACAGTGCACTCACCTTGGTTGCCGGGTTACATCGGTGTCACACAAACCATTCTCATTATATTAACAATGGCTAGACTTTTTCTGGACAGACCTCATTATACATGAAAGCAGGAGAATTCTATATGAGAGAAAAATTGAGGGCAACAGTAACAGCATTTTCAATTTCCTACTTAAATTAATGAAGGATAGCTTTTTTTCTATTTATATTCATTACTGTGTATATAGATAGCTAATACCAAAATGTTCCCTTTTATTAATTTTTTAAAAATTTTTATTGACTTTATAGGGGCAACATTGGTTAATAAAATTATATAGGTTTCAGGCGTACAATTCTATAACATGTCATCTGCATATTGTATTGTGCATTTATTGCCCAAAGTCAAGTCTTCTCTAATCATTTATTTCCCTTTTACTTCTTCCTACCCATCTTTCCCTCTGGTAATCAATCACCATACTGTTGTCAGTGGCTGTGAGTTTCTTTTCCTTGCTTAATCCATTCACCTTTTTACCCAACACCTTTTTTTTTTTTTTTTTTTTTTTTACTCTGACTGTTCTGTTTCAGTGTTTTAGTTTTACCTTATGATTTACTTCCACTTAAAGCAGAAGAATTAGGTAGAGTTGAAAACTTATGAGCTGGGTTTTAAGGATTTGACTTTACTAATTTTATGATAAAGAAAAAATTTTCTGGAAATAAGATGAACCTCTGTGTATGAAACACTAGAAAAAATACTGTTGTTTCCTGCTATAATTTTAGGAAGCTGAATTGATGTATTAATGTTGCTCTCTAGGGAAACGTTTCCCTTCATCTAGGGATGAAGGACTCTGAACAGTGATTAATTGGATAATTCACACAATAAAATGAATTATATTACAGTGAACTAGCTCAAGTGTAGAGTAAGTAAAACCAGATATTTAGATTGTCTTTCTCTTTTGCCTTTTCTTATTTTTTTCTCACCCCTTTTTCTCCATTCTTGCTTTTTAGTTCATTCTTTTTTACTCACCATAATTTGAAATTAAAGTCATTTAAAATCAAATAGCAATTATTTATACTTTGCTTTTTTTCCTATATGTGTTGATGCTAAAGGTTAATTTAAAAGGTTTCCTGATGATTGTAAAACCATGGTAAAGGATGTTTGATTAGCATGAATGTTAGTGAAGTACTTTCAGAATATAAATAATGTTGCTAAACACTTTTAAAATGGTGGTATTATGTAAGAGATGGTTGAATAAGTGAAATACGTGAATAAATGAGGCTTCTGAATTGTTTAAGAAAAAGCTTTAATTAAACTGTGTTGAAATACATTCCGGGAAACCACATGTAACTGAAAATATTGTATTTTCTTGTAGAAATTACTTTTTAGGGGAGAACATATTCCCAGTGAAAGACCTAAATAAAGTTAATTGTATACCTGTGATTTTCATTTAGAATCATTGTGATTTTTTTTTAGAAAGACTGTAGAATCACTGATATATTTGAAAATATTTAAAAATATAGTCAAAACTTTTGAAAAACAGGAATACTCTAAATCTGGTGTTATTATTTTTAAATTTTTCCTTAATTTCCTCTACTCTAACTTTGAAAGGAAGAGAGAAATAACTCAAAGTATGGTAGAAATGAGGTAGGGAAAGCAGTGCTTCATTTTTCTCTCTCTTTTTTAGTATTTAGGGGACATTTTAAGAGAGAGAGATGAAGGTGGGTGCAGATACACTTTGTATGTGGTAGAGTTGGCCTGGTGGAGACATAAAATGTTGAGGAGTTTTCTTTCAGTTGCCTTCTATATTTTCTGTGAAATTGGTGATAAGATTATCCTTTGAGAGTTATAAGGAAAGAGATGAGATTGAAAGCTTGAGGAGAGTGGTGAAAGTATGAAATATTTGCAGAGGAGAAAAACAAAGGGAATGGAAGGATTGCAGGTTAGCATTCAGGACCCAGCCATGATTGAGACCATAAATTCTTACCAGGTAAAACTATCAGTTTAGTAGTATACCCATATTAGAGAATGCTTTTCTGGTCAGTAATTTTATGATACATTTTTTATTAAATAAGTGTAGTTTTCTTTTTCCTCTGGGGACAATTGGGATATTCTTTAATAGAATCCCTAACTTACTCAAAATACTTCCATTAATACCTTTGTAAGAGTATTAGCTTAGCTCAGTCATGGAACACTTATTCATTATATTAGCCTCCCTAACTGTTACTTTAGTAAGGTAACATATCACCAGCACTTATATGTGGTATGTTTTTGTTTTGTTTTGTTTTACCTATACACAAGGGATATTTCTGAAGAAAGCCATGTTATTTTTTGGTTAGCACAATTATGCAAACAAGTTGCTCAGTAACAGTTTGGCTCAATGGGAGAAGCCATGCAATAATACTGCATCCATTGCATAAGTAAGGGCTAGCTTACAGTGAGATGGAAGAAAAAGCATGCAGCTTTGTAAACATAACATTCCTTGAAACTAAGCACTATTTGTTGTTTTTGAGCTGACATATATTGAAAAATTATTGAGAAAAAGGTACCATCAATCTTACTTGAAAAGGTTTTTCATATATCATTGAAAAAAAAGTCCATCCTTTATTTTAAAATTTACAAGACCAATGTGAAATCATTAACTGGGTCCTCCTTACATTTATCAATTCAGAACACATCTGTACAGCTATTAAATCATTTGAATTATGGGGATTTTATTAGTATTTGATTTAAGTTGTAGTTCTTTAAATGAAAAGAAATTATTTTGCTAAACTTATAAAATAAATAATCCTTTGCCTCCAAGAACAAACAAGTATTTCCATAAATACCAGATAAATATGGAATCTCTTTAAATAATCAGCTATGTAATATTTTAAAAAAGAATTGAAAGAAGACCCTCCTTCCCTGCCTACTATGCTTTTATACACATAAAGAAAGATATGAAGTCTGAACCAGACATACCTCTCCATTGTTGAGCTCCCAGGCAGATCTTCCTGCTTTCATTTCACAAGATTTCCTTCCAGAGTAGGTAATGGGTTACCTCTTTTAATTTATTTTCTTTTTTGCTTTCTTTCCTTCTTTCTTTTTTAAAAATTAGTTTGGTGAGGATGGAGAAAATGGTTTGAATCTTTCAGTAAGGAGCAAACTGTTAAAGTGTGACAGTGCATTTTAGCTGGTAAAAAAGGAGCATGATGAACAAAAATATTAATTAAAATAAATATATGAATGGTGTTTTCTCATTCAGGTATGAAAAATTAGACAAACAAGTATATTCGGAATATTACTTGAAATACATAGGCTTCAGCTTTCCATTGGTGATATCAACATCATACCTCTCTGTTGGTTTCTCAAAGATTTCTCCTTTAATATATGATGAAAAATTTAGTGCAGGGAAGATATGACAGAGCTAGATAGAGCCAAGAATTAGTGAATTATTTTTTACTACTTTTTTTCTCATGGTAGCAATTCTTTTACCTTTATGACTCATCTCAGGAGGATTGTAAATTCCAACCTAATTTCCCTACACTATCCAGCAGCCCTCTCCCAGGCTGCCTTTTTCTATTGCCTAGCCTTTTGTGTTCAGAAATGATCAACAAAACAAATTTAGAGGGTTAGTGTGGGACATAGTTAAACATCTTATGCAGTTGAACCAAATAATAATGACTTGAGGATTGTGCAGTGTTTGGTTTACTACCTTTTGTTTACTACATTCAGGCAGTGTGTGTCATATTCTTAGCTCTATTCCTTATTTCTCAGTTCTCGTCTATTCCAGATTGAGGTTTTGATGCCAACTACATTTTCGTTATAGCACTTACTACCTTTGGTCCAAAAATTACTTTCGGATCCTTACCATTTCTGCCCTCAAATTGAATCAGTCATCTATCCACCTGTCAACACATATGGTGAGCAAGACAGTGTCTGCCTTCAAGGGGCCTATAAAAAGAGTAGTCAGACAAGTAAACTGATAGTTGTAGTATGGTGTGGTAATTGCTGGGATAGGGCTAAGTTCAGAGAGCTTTGAGAGGCTCTAAGAGGGTCACCAAACCTAGTGTTGAGGAATTTGAGTTTTGGAGAAGAGAAAGAGCTAAGCTGAGGTTTGAAGAAGTGGTGGAAACTAAGCAAGAGAAGAGGCAGAAAATGCATGTTCTGGGCACCAGAACCAACATTTGGAAATATCTAGAAGGTAAGAAAGTGGGTTCAAACACTGATTGGAAAAACAAATTGGAAGGAAGGAGATGGTTACTGTGGAGTCTGAGGGGTCTCCTTTTCTATTCAGGTTCGGGACAGGATTTTCAAGTCATACAAATGAGCTTTGAATCCTTACTTGTAAGGCCTTTCCTAATCGTCCTAGTAAGCCTCCCCTACCATCCTCTGTTCCCCTCTGCCACTTTATTTTTCTCTAAATATTTATCACCATATGATGTACTTTATATTTTACTTGTATATTTGTTCATTGCTTGTCTCTGTCCACTAATTGTAAATTTCATCAGAGCAGGAATTATTTTCCACTCTTTGATCCACTGCTGTAGCATTTGAAACAGTGTTTAGCAGACAGTAGATGGTCACTAAGTTTGTGTTGAGGAAATAAATCCTGGTTCCTATCTATTTCTTGGTTATATGACTTTTGGCATTTTACTTAACCACTCAAAGCCTTGATTTCAAATAGGAATAATATCACCTTAATGAGAAGTAAATGAGATAATTTGTGTAAAATAATCAAGATAATAAGATTCTACAATTCTCTATGTGAAAACTTTTGTGGACCAGATGTAGTTTGTAATCAGAATTCTTCATACTTTAGAAAGCTAATAGGGAGCATACATTCATTATACATTATGTAACTGGTAAGTAACTTGGATACTAATGGTAACATTTCTGCAACAAAACATACAACTATTCACCTTTAAATAGGATAAATGAAAACTATAGCAGTTTCACATTCCTTTAGGTCAAATTTTACCTTTTAATAGAGTTCAAGTCAGGTTTTTGCAGTCAGGTTAGTTATAGAATAATTTAACATTTTTCAGGGCTTAATGAATAGTAGAACATGGGTATGGGATTGTGCCTGACAAACAGTAGGTATTCTGTAAATGACCCCTTCCCTTATTTCTACTGCATTGTTTCTAATCATATTGAGGGGATTGACTCTCTACCATGGCAAGTTCATTCTGTTTTGTTCACTAATATATCTCAACTGCCTGAACACTGTCTGGGACATAGTTGGTACTTAATAAATATTGTTGACTACATAAAAATAGTGTCATATTCATGAAATAATTAACTTGTGTTAATATTTAAGTATCTAAAGTAGAAAAATCCAGTTTTAATTATTGTTACTATAAAAAAGACTGCATAACAGGTTTTTGTTGATGTGATATGGAAAAATTTCTATAATCTTGTACAATGCCTTCTCTCTTTTTTTTCTCTTGCTATTTCATATACCAAATGATGAATGCTTTCATTATAAAAAATGAGCTGAGGCTTATTTATTCCAGAAATATTTACTGAGAACCTATTCATCTACCAAGCAGTGAGATGATTAATATGTTCAGTGATTTAAAAAAAAAAAGACCAATCCTGACTCTTCTTTGAAAACTTTGAGTCAGTGTTTGCAGTACTTTAGCCACCAGTGAACAACTACGCTTCAGACCCTTTTACCTGTTACTACTTCTGTCGTCAAGCCATTCACACATGGAACACATCTAAAGTCATAAACTGTGCCACAAAAAATGTATAAAACGTACCTGGATTTTAGTAAAGTTATTAGGCTGTCGGAGAATGTTAGCATCCAAAAGTATTAATGTTCTCTTTTCCAAGTATTTCATTTCATAATAAACATTAAAGACACCAGATTCAAATCAGTTACATCTTCAGGGTCATAAACAATGCAAGTACAGTAGGTCTTTGAATAATGATGATTCACTCAACATTTCATAACGTTGGTCAGATGCTGTAGGAACTTAACTCTCGTTTATGTCAATAAGCCTATGGTAGAATTGGTTTTGTTGTATGTCATTTTGCTTAAGGTCATAGAACCTAATAACAACAAGTGACGACTTATTGTAATTTTAAAGAGTATGTTCATCACAATGCAAAGTGGGGTAAACAAACATTTTTTAGTCCCAAAATATTTTTTATTAAGAGCTTTTATTTTTCACAGATAAATTCTCTTTAGCATGGCCGAGCTAATTAACTTGCCTTGATATTTAAACCATACTGTGCTGTAATCGTATTATATTCACTAAAACTGTTGCTTTGATATTTGGTTAGATATATACATCATGCAACAACAAAATTCTTGGAGTGTAATGCATACTGTTCCTTAGCTGCAACATAACTTGTGAGGATTATTGAATTTCATTTTTTTTAAATATTTTATTTATTTATTTTAGAGAAAGGGGAAGGGAGGGAGAAAGAAAGGGAGAGAAACATCAGTGTGCAAGAGATATATCGATCAGTTGCCTCTCACACGCCCCCAAATGGGGACCTGGCCTGCAACCCAGGCATGTGCCCCAACTGGGAACTGAACCCGCAATATCTCAGTTCACAGGTTGGCACTCAGTCCACTGAGCTATGCCAGCCAGGGCTTGGGTTTCTTTATGCTCTTAAAAATACTGTAAAGTTGTTCTTATCCTCTCATTTCAGTTACAGTTCTGTGTTCTGTCCTTCATCCACAATTGTTATGGACTTTGCTTTACTTTTCTGTAGTTGCGACAAATTGCACCAAGGACATTCTTATGGTCAACTCTTCTTAAACAGGGAAGAGGTTGGAGGAATAGTCTGTGCTCGAAAAACAGAATGAAGCAGTAACTCTCTAACATGATAAGCTATCATTTGATACTGAGAAAACAACCCACAGACAATTCTTTATACTATTCTAATAAATAAAACATTACAGTATTATAGGAACTTCTTCCTTGAAATTTTCATTATAACACACTCTCTCGTTCACAGCATAAACAAATGTAAAAATTACTATGAAGTACTTGGAGTTACCAAAGATGCTGGTGATGAAGATTTGAAAAAAGCTTATAGAAAGCTTGCTTTGAAGTTTCATCCAGACAAAAACCATGCACCTGGAGCAACAGATGCTTTTAAAAGTAAAGTAAACCTTTTAAAGCAATTTTCCTAAGCTCTTTGTAGAATCCACTTAGTGTTTCAGAATATTCAATTCTGCCTTTAGACTGGTGCATAGGATCCAGCGTAAGCAAGGGTCCTTAAAATCCTTTAAAACTTCACTATTAATTTCTTGTACCAGGGGCCAAACAAATGCAGTTTTCTCTTCATGAAAGCAACATGCCAGTTTTGGCAAAGTCCTAGTAACTTGTTAGATACCCATGCATGCTTTCTAGTTTACCATGTACAAGTGATGTGATGATTATGCATGAGTCTTTAGCATATTATTATCTGTTCTAAGGGCAATAAAAGCAAAATATAGTTTTTGTGAGTTCTTAAGATATTAGTGATATTAGGATACTAAAATTGGGAAGTTATTTGGAATTGCTGTCTGCCCAGTATTTCTGTTAACTCTGGCCAACTTTTGCATTTTTTATATGTGATTCTAACTAATGTGACTTTTTTCTTTTTCATAATTAGTTTAATTTTTCTTGACTGCTCTTCATTTGTCTTCATTTCTTTTTTTTCAGTTTTTGCCAATTTAGTAAATAAATGGAAAAGAACTGATTTTGTAATTTTATATTTTGGTACATATAATTTACTCATAATTGTTAAATTCTAATTCATAGGAAAATGCTTAAATTTGTAATTGTCTGTTCTTGTGAATTTGGCATTTACAGAACCAAGTATATGCTTACAGTGAAATAAATGCTGGGATCTTGGAATAACAGGAAAGAGATACTCGTTTTTAACATGTTCCTAAAAGATAAATGACTCAATTGGCCTTTTATACAAAACAGCTTCCAAATGGTTTATTTCTTAAAGAAAGTTGCCAAGCAAAATGCATTTGGGGATTGTTAATATTTTCCAATAAAAGCAGTCACCAAAGTGGTAGTGGTAAAAGTAAAATATCACTGAGACAGAGCCTTCTCAGTTGTTTCATTAAATTAAAAGTAGTGTCTTGATAGGACAGGGAAGCTTTCTTTACTCAAAAACAGATGGGGTGGGGGAAAGTGGTGGCAGGAAAATGGGGACAACTGTACTTGAACAACAAAAGAAAAAGAAAAAAACCCACTAAATTTAGTATATATTCCCCAAAAGTTAAAGCAAAATTTCCACCTCATGAGTTAAAATCATTTGAAACTTTTTGGTTTTTTTTTATAACATTTAAAAACAGGGTGAGAGTGAGTTATTTGCATGTTTGTGATCCACTTGGTGATATCAGTATTAATTCTTCATTAATGTTAAGAATGTTAAACTGCTTTTTTCTTTCATTTCTGCATTGAAGCCATCTTAGCATTATTGGTTTTAGAATAACAGTAAGTGGATCTACCACTATTTTTACAACCTGTATGGCATTTTGAAATGGTGAGCAGCATAGATGTTCACCACAACTGGCCATCCAGAAAGAGTTTAACAAAGGTGATTGTACTTTGCTCTAGTACATTTTAGATTTTAATGATCTCCTTCACAAAACTAGAAACTTAATATATATCAACATGCTAAGAGGAGATTTATCTCTAGAGGAGAGACTTATATTATTCAATACATAGAAGATTATCTGTAAATCAGAATGCCAGTTAACCCCAAAGAGTTAGGGAATAGGGAATGGTTGATGAGCCCATTTTTTATTGAGTGAAAACTACGTACTAGAGGGGAGATTTTCATTTGTGTGTGTTGTAAAACTTAAAAATAAAATGTTGCCATCAAGGTCGCAGACTAAGTGGACTCTGAAGTTCATGTGGCTATTTGTCTTTACAGTTAGGATTGTAAGTTTCTCAAAGCAGGGAATATCTCATCTATATCTTGAGAGTAACTTGCAAAGTATATGTAAACATTTTTAAAAAATACTTGACTGAAATAGGTAACTTCCCTCTGACATGGATGTTTTCAAAACAGTTTACATTATCTTCAGAGACTCACGAGTATCTCAGAAACTATTTGTTTTTCTTTAAATTATATTTTATTGATTATGCTATTGCAGGTGTCCCAATTTTCTTCCCTTTGCCCCCCTCTACCCAACACTGCCCACTCCCTCAGGTAATCCCCACACCATTGTTGATGGGGTCCATGGGTCATATGTGTAAGTTCTTTGGCTACTCCATTTCCAGTGCTGTCCTTTATATCCACATGGCTATTCTATAACTATGTATTTGTACTAAATCCCCTCACCTCCTCACAATGCCTTCCTCCACAGCTCCTTCCAATTGGGCAACCATCAAGACACTCATCATATCCATGATTTTGTCTTTGTTCTTGTTTGCTTAGTTGGTTTTTTAGATTCAGTTGTTGATAGATACATATTTATTGCCATTTTATTGTTCATAGTTTAGGTACTCTTTTTCTTAAATAAGTCCCTTTGGCATTTCATATACCGATGGTTTGGTGATGATTAACTCCTTTAATATTTTCTTATCTGGGAAGCTCTTTATCTGTCTTTTGATTCTAAATGATATCTTCACTGGGTAGAGCAGTCTGAGTCATAGGTCCCTGCGTTTCATGACTTTGAATATTTCTTGCCACTCCTTTCTAGCCTGCAAAAATTTCTTTTGAGAAATCACCTGACAGTCTTACTGGAATTCCCTTGCAGGTAACTAACTTCCTTTCTCTTGCTGCTTTTAAGATTCTCTCTTTATCTTTAACTTTGGTATTTTAACTATGATGTATCTTAGAGTGGGTCTCTTTGCATCCATCTTATTTGGGACTCTGTGTGCCTGATCTCCTGGACTTGCATGTCTATTTTCTTTACCAAATTAGGGAAGTTTTCTTTCAATACCTTTTTCAAATAGATTTCCAGTATCTTGCTCTTTCTCTTTCTCTTCTCATAGGCACCCTTATGATGCAAATGTTGGACCTCTTGAAGTTGTCCCAGAGGCTCCTTACACTATCTTCATTTTTTTTGTATTCTTTATTCTTCTTGTTGTTCTGATGGGTTGTTTTTTGGCTCCTTATGCTCTGAATCATTGATTTGTTTCTCGGCTTCATCCACTCTACTGTTGATTCCCTGTAAATTGTTCTTTATTTCAACTAGTGAATCCTTTGTTTCTGATTGGTTCTTTTTATGCTGTTGAGGTCCTCACTAAGTTCCTTGAGAATCCTTATAACAAGAGTTTTAAACTCTGCATCTGACAGATTGCTTCTCCATTCTGTTGGGCCATGGGTCTTTGTGTCCGCATTTTGGCAGCTGCCCTGTTTGTTTCTATGTATTAGGCTGAGCTTCTATGACTCCCTGTCTTGGTAGTGTGGGCTAACGTAGTAGGCAACCTGCAGGGTCCAGTGGCACAACCTCCCCTATCACCCAAGTGGGTACTCAAGATGCACCCTCCATATGCACTGAATACAGCCTCCTTCTGTAATTGAGCTTGATGGCTGTTGACAGGTCAATGGGAGGGATTTACCCAGACTGGTTAGCTGCAGGTACTCACTGTGACCACTGACCACCAACCTCCACCCACTATGGAGGATCAGCTGCGCAGGGGCAGGGTGGTGCTGCTCTGACATGGTCTGTAGCTGTCTACTGCATGTGCAGGCTCTGTGGTTTCCTGGGTGGTGCAGGCCAAGGTCAGCCCCCACCTATGTTTTGCCCAGAGCCACTCTGCCTGGGCTATAAAGCAATCTGAGATGGCTACTACTTGTGCAGGGCTTGGAGATTCCCAGGTGAAGACAAGCTGTGAATCTAGGATAGCTGTTGCTAGTGCCAGGCCTGGCACAACTTAGCAAGAGGAATGAGGGCAGGGTCTCACTGAGCCCAGCTGTTGCTTGTATGAGAAGATTTAGGAAGTTGGGCCCATAATTTAGGTGAGACAGAGTGGGGATCTCCAGCGCAGGGCAAATAGAGTTAGCCACGTTGAAGGAGTTTCAGATATGGCACATGCCTGCAGGCTCTGTACCTCTGTGGGGGTAGGATTCAGAAAAGGGACAATGGCCTCTGCCCACCTTTCCTGCTCGGAAAAGCTCTTACCTTGATGCTAGACATTTTAGTTCCTCCCTGTATTCCACTGGTACCTTTCAAGCTGCTACCCCGGTGCTAGAGGTCGGAGGGAGTAAGTCTGAGTAAGTCCCTTGTGGGTTCTTTAAGAGGAACTGCTTGGGACTCTAGTTTCTTCCACTGACTCAGTCCCCACTGGTTTTTGCAGCCAGAAGCTATGAAGACTTATCTCCCTGGCACTGGTACCCTGGGTTGAGGGGCCTGGTGTGCAGCTGACAATCTTCATTCCTGAGATACCCCTTCTGCATTTTTATCCACCACATGTGAATGGGGGATCTGCCCGTTCCGTGTCTCTGTCCCTCCTACCAATCTGGATGTATGTGGTTTCTTTAATACCCTAGTTGTCAGACTATTGTTCAGCTCAATTTCTGACAGTTCTGAGTCATTAAGTTGTAATTTTGATGTGGTGGTGCAAGGAGGCAAGCTGTATTTACCTAGCCATCTTGACTGGAAGTCCCAAAAACTATTTGAATAGTGTCTGTGTTTGTTGATATAAAAAATGAATGTAATAACAAGGGACATGGATTAGCTATATATATGTGCTCTTGATAAATAATAATGGATCAAATGCCATTGCCTGTGTTAGGTCTGTTAGTTCAATATTCTTAACATCTAGAGTGTATCTCTAAACACAAAGATGTCAGTTCTACCCTTTGGGCCAGTCCTTAGAGAAATACAATGAGATAATATGAAATACTCTCTTACTCACAGAATATGTAATTCATAAAGGAAAGTCAAGTCTTATACAGAAACTTTGGAATAATAATAATGCCTAACATTTGACAAGCATTTTATAGTTTTTCATTTAATTCTTATTAAATACCTTATGAAATAGTCAGGGGACCAGTGTCATCCTCCTTTCACATACAGGAAAATTGGGGCTCACAGGAAGTAACTGATTTTCTCAGGTTTCCCAGAAGACTGAATATAATCAAATACAAAAACATAGAATAAAGATGTCTGAGGAAGGATCAGAAAGATGAAGTAATATTGTGA